ACTTGTAGGATACATTTGGCAAAAATCACATGTTGTGTAGTGGTCCTGCTGTGCAGGAGGCTTATGCTGAGGGCCTGACAACACCAAACTTGATGCCCCGAGAAACCCAGGGCTTGGATAGCCCAACAGTGTCACCATGTCACATGCTGCAGAGGTTTCTAAATGTTTACCCTCTGTTTATGTACTCATCATAGACTGGAGTACTACCTCACTTTGGTAGCAATGCTGTGAGTTACTCCACTTTTCTGTACTATAAAGCCAGGCCCCAAGGAGGGGGAATGGACAGGAGAGTTCATGGCCCTTGGTCTCTAGAAAATACAGGATGAAGATAACCTACCAGCAAAACAGAGCACCCTAGGATCCCCAGGATTATGGCTCCACAGATTTTCAGAAGACACTCAGAGTGGCTTCTTCCTCTGCTCACTCCACATTTCCTCAATTTACCCAGGAAATTCAAATTTCTATTAATTAGTTATATTGGAGCTATTAGCATGAATTCTCACTATCCACTCTAAGTATTGCACATTACACCCGTTTTTCTAGCATTTGAGGGTAACTATGCTTATTTGTATTGTTAAATAGCTATCACATTAACTTTGCTGTAAAATTCGATTTGATTATAGTACTAAATTCTTTCATATATTCAGTCTTTGGTTTGTTGCTTTAGTGTTATGGCATAATTATATCTTAAAAAAGGAAGTGTGAGTCCAGGGTCCCTTTCTCCTGGCTGTCTTTTGAAATGGGTACAGTTCCCTTATCCTCCTCACAGGGCGTGTGACAAAAGTGTGGCTCACTTCTTCAGTTCCCTACTGCTCAAACCCCTAGCAGGAGCATGCAAACAGGCAGGTCATGGGGAGCATTTTCGGGGTCCCACCATAGCAGCATCTAGGGTTGAGTGTTTACAGCTCCCGAAGCCCCAGTGAGTGTGTGTTACAGTGTGCTCTTTCAGTTTCGCCATCTGCAGGTGGCTTGTGTTAATCAGCTCAATTAGACCCTCTGCCTTATTCCACAGACTGAGGGCTTTCTGTATCTTGGGTTCTTGACCTAGTGTACCAGAAAAATCGAATTACACATGGGCTTGGAGGATGGATGCAAGGTTTTACTGAGTGGTGGAGTTTACTCTAAGCTAGGTAGATTGGGATCAAGAAGGAGGATGGAGTGGGAAGGTGGTCTTCCCTGGAGTCAGACTGCCCAGCAGCTGGACCCTCCTCTGACTGCCCCTGACCAAATTCCATGTTGTCCTGCTGTCATGGCCTGTCAGTGTCTGCTGTCTATCAGTGTGCTCTTCTGCTCCTTTCGACATCCAGCCACTTGTGTCTGTGCCTGCTAAAGTCTCGGCGTTTTTATGGGCACAGGATGGGGTGTGTGGCAGGCCGGAGTGGTCTCGGAAAATGAAACATTTGGGTACAAAAACAGGAGTGCCTGTCCTCACTTAGGTCCATGGGCATAGAATCTAGGGTGGAGCCCACGCCAGGGACCCCACCCTATCCAGCACTTTCCTGCCCCCATCCCATATCACTTCAGCTCACCTGCCTGGTGTGGAGATGGAGAAAGCTATAATATATCAGCTTTATTCGCCACCTATTCACAATAGTCAAGAGAACAGGTTGGTTTTGTTTTTCCCACCTTTCTCCTATTTGATATACAATATCTTTTGCTTGGGAGCTAGAATGCTGCGTGTTGACCTTTTTGTGTTTTATCTGCTACAGATTGGTAACCACTTGACCAGCCCCACCACCAATTCTAGCTGAAATACAAAGGAAGAAAAGTCCCCAGGAAAAGGGAATGTCAGATTCCAAAGACTAATTCACCCATTTCAAGATTTCTCCAGGCTTCAGCCCTGTTCTGTCTTCAACTTTGTGTTAACAAGTACAGGAAAATGTCAAAACTTGCTTGCCTGGATGTGAGTTCTGCTCTGTGTTCTGTCTGATGTAAGGCAATACTGAGTTTTTAAAATAATTTACAAATTTCAGTAGTATGTCTGTTTTGAGCATAAGATTTGGTAAATGAGATTACAGCATACCTCATGCTTCTGGTGAAAAGATGGATGACGTGTATTCAATTGTTCTTGCTAAGTCCTTAGCAGTAATTAGTCTGCTATTAAAGCCAACACACCTGCCATAATGGAAATTAGGTAAAGTGGGGAATGCGATTATAATTCTGAGAGGTGATCTTGAACTTATCCAATAAATAGTTGCAAATAGTCCCATGAAATACTCCTCTCTGAAGGACACCAGATCTGAGAAAAATGAATTGGGGTCTCGATGTATTTCTGTCATTGAATAGATTTGTGACTTGACTTTGAACTAAAATCACTTAACCTCTCAAATGTTAGGAGCATTTGCAATTACACAAATAAATCATTAAATAAAGAAACAGGGCAAATCACATCGTGCTCATGTTTCTGTCCAATTCAAATTCTATCCTTCAGCCATCAAAAGACCTTAGATGAAAAATGAGAGGTTACCCAACCAACCAGTAAACAATAGTGTCATAGATACTTGGGTGAATACATCTGATTCTCTTAGGGCAGTGTTTTAAAGGTAGCAATAGCATCTGCTACCACTTCATGTTTTAATAATCAATAAATAAAATAACAATTTAATAGGTTTTACCTTTGAAAACAAGGGAGTCTCAGAGTCTTGAGTGTAGATGTAGTGAGAGGCTCAGCAGAGAGGAGCTCACACAGGTGACCCCCCATTCATTGTGTCCACCGAACACCCCTCTCTTCTGGGGAGGGTGGGGGTTGACTGTTACACACTTTTAAATTGGCTTCATTCTCATGAAACAGTTGTTTAATTCATCCCCAAAACTGACTGTTGGTTTGGAAAAAAAAATAAATAGTGCTATTGAAATGCACAAAATTCATAAGGAACTTAAAAATTTGAGTCTGAAGGACCTTCATTAGACCAATGAACTGATGGTCTGGTTTTCCTCTCATCAAAATTCTAATACAGAACAACAAGCTGTCTCTAGTATTTAAAAAGTCAACATTTTAAAAGACAAAATATAGTGACAATTATTTCTAATTTGCTCCTCATTTATCGAGAGAGGGAGGAACTAGCCACATCTGCAACACATTATTCTTCAGATAAAATGTCTAACAAAAAGCAGTCTGAAATTCTATCATCTGGTTGCTTAGTAACCAAATATTACTTATAAGTAGAAATCTATTGCTTTTTGTGAAGCACAAAATTCAATAATTCCAAATATTAAGACATAACAGAGGTTTTTGTGTATTTTTAGGCCTAAGCCTTAATTAAATTTCAATCTACACTTTAGTGCGCATTCATTTCTGAAAACAAGAACAATAAGCAGTTGTACATTTGTCAACAAAGCATTCTTTCCTTACGTAATTAATACAAATTGGGTGACATATCTTTAATATTGGGAAAACAGTATTTTTTTCCTTACATAATACTTTATAAAGGTACTAGTATTACTTTTAATATAATTTTAAAATAATTTCCTGGCCAGGTGTGGTGACTCATGCCTACAATTCTAGCACTTTGGGAGGCTAATGTGGGAGGGTCACTTGAACCCAGGAGTTCAAGACCAGCTTGGGCAACATAGAGAGGACATGTCAAGACAAAAATTTAAAAATTAGCTGGGTATAGCGCCGTGCAGCTGTAGCCCCAGCTTCAGGGAGGCTGAGGTGGGAAGGTCGCCTGAGCCCGGGAAGGGCAAGTCTGCAGTGAAGTCTACGGCACCGCACTCTGTCTTGGGCAACAGAGCGAGACCCTATCTTAAAAAAAATGTTGTTTTTTTTTTTAATGGAGTTTTGCTCTTGTTGCTCATGCTGGAGTGCAATGGCATGATCTTGTCTCACCAAAATCTCCACCTCCCAGGTTCAAGCGATTCTCCTGCCTAGCCTCCCTAGTAGCTGGGATTACAGGCATGTACCACCACATCTGGCTTATTTTGTATTTTTAGTAGAGACAGGGTTTCTCCATGTTGGTCAGGCTAGTCTCAAACTTTCAACCTCAGGTGATCCGCCTGCCTCGGCCTCCCAAAGTGCTGGCATTACAGGAGTGAGCCGTCATGCCCGGCCTACAAATAAAAAAATAAAAATAAAAATAACATCCTGTTCTTAAAAGATTTTAACTGAAAGTCACCTTTTTTTCATACATCTTACAAAACTTATGATCTAGAGGGGGTCTGTAATTACATATTTCCATGAAAAGTGTTCACTAGTGAAACCAGATGAGAAACTTTGTCACAGAGGATCTTACAAGGTAAAGATTAGATTTGTCAAGGTGGACTCTCCCCTTCTGCAGGAAGGATCAGAGCCCTGCAGCATCCTGTTCTTCCACTCTAGCCAAGTATTGGGCCCTTTCAAATGCAGAACTCCCTCCCTGCTACCCCAAAACATGTTCCAAGATATAGATACTGTGACAGCCTTTAGAATGTGCAGGAAAAAAGCAAAAGAGTATACTTTTCCAAAGATGTCATTGCAAAGGCATTTCACACAGAATTTGCAGTTGAATTTTTCCAAAAAGAGTGTAGTGAATATATGGTAGTATAAGGAATGTGTATTAATTTCTTTTTATACAAGACAGAATAAGACATAGAGAAGTAAGATGATGAGCCTATGGTGATATAAATATTTAGAAACAATCTACAAGTCAGATTGGAAAAAAAAAAAACTCTGCTGACTATCATAACAAAATTATTACGAAGTGTTTTAACTTATTTTACAGGTAACCATCCACATACATGTTACCATACTTGAATGTTTCTTGGAACATGTGGCTGAGAAGTGATTGGAACATGCGATTGTAAGTTTCTTTTTATAACTTGCATCTTTCATTCCAGTGCTGTACGAAGTGACACATCTCAGCCTCTAGGACATTGTTATTTGTAAGTGAAAAAAATAGTACTGCTTATCAAATTATCTGGAATTAATTACAAAGGAAAATGGCCTTCTTCATACCAGGTATTTCATAACTATCAGTTCCTTTAAAAATATCTAAATTAAATGACAGTCGGAGTGCCAGGAATTCTCATTTGCTTATTTTACTGGTATCCTTAAAGATATTTATTGCTAGATGAATAGTAGGTACTTAGTGCTTTGTTTGAAATGCCAGACCACACTCTCAGACCAATCTTGAAATAATTTTTTTTTTGGTCTTAGAGAACTAAGATGACGTTGGGTACCACATATATTTTTAACATTTATTTTATTTTTAATAGAAAAAGCATAAAGTTGAATACCATATATGTTTTAAACTTACATTATGTTTTAATGTAAAACATAGCTCTAAAATCTAGATAACTCCTTAAAATTTTTGAAATACATATATATATGCATATTTTTCAAAAACATGGTGCATAAAGAGAAAATGAAAACCATTTTCCATAGAAGACATCTAGAAACGGTGACCCACCCAGAAGAAACAATGAAACAAGCACCTCTAAGGCCAGATTATTTTCTGATTACTATTTCCCACTAAAGAAACCAGGGCTCCTTGGAGAAACAGCTGGTTCCAAATCCAGCACAGAAAATGTACCAAAAGAACTTATAATATCTTGTCATTCCAGAATGCAAGGAAGCTCTCAAAGACTTCCAGGGTTATGTCAAAAAAATCTCAGCACCCAAATTTCAGAAGCTTCTACTTCCCATCCCACCCCTGACAGGCTGCAGTGTGTGTTGCTCTCTTCCCTGTGTCCACGTGTTCTCATTGTTCAGCTCCTACTTATAAGAGGGAACATTCAGTGTCTGTTTTTCTGTTCCTACGTTAGTTTGCTGAGGATAATGTCTTCCAGCTCCATCCAAGTCCTTGAAAAGGATATGATCCTGTTCCTTTTTATGGTGAAAAGACAAAGTGAAAAAGATAAAGGAGAACTTCTATGTTGAAAGACGCTGACGAGAGATATAAACCAATAAGAATGTATGGACCTTATTTGAATTCTGATTCTGACTCAAGCAAACAAAAGTAAAAAGTTATAAGACAGTCTGAGAATTATGAACTGACTGGAGATGTATATGTATATATACACACACACACACACACAAATATTTGAGATGGAGTGTCAATTTATGAACTGACTGGAGATACATATTATTCATATATATTTGAGATCGAGTCTCACTCTGGAGTCCCACTCTGCTGCCCAGGCTGAAGTGCAGTGGCACCATCTCAGCTCACTGCAACCTCCACCTCCCAGGTTCAAGTGATTCTCCTGCCTCAGCCTCCTGAGTAGCTGGGACTACAGGTGCGCACCACCACAACGAGTTAATTTTTTTTTTCTTTTTTTTCTTTTCTGTATTTTTAGTAGACACAGGATTTCACCATGTTAGCCAGGACGGTCTCGATCTCCTGACCTCCTCGAGCTCCCAAAGCGCTGGGATTACAGGAGTGAGCCACCACACCCAGCCAAACTGACTGGATATTTGATGGCATCACGTGACTTTTTTTTTTTTTTTTATGTGACGAAGGTGTGGTGTTTTCTTTTTAAAGAATTCCTTACCCTTTGGGGATACATGTTGAGTTATTCACAGATGAAACAATTTGATATCTGAGATGTCCGTTGAAAAGGGCAGAGGAGGGAAAAGTGAGAAACAAGATAGGCTGTGAGTTGAAGCTGGGAGATGGTTACACGGTGCGTTGCTATTGCTCTCCTCTCTGCTTTGGCTATGCCTGCCTGAAACCTTGTATAATAAGGGACTTTATAAAGAAAAAAAAAATCCTTTTAAAAAGAGTAAAATTTCACTTCCACTGACCACTTCTTGTCTACACAAGTAGTTGCATCAATTTCTTTTCTTAATACATTTCAAGACTCTTTTATTAATTGCACACCTACTTAGAATTTAGTATGTGTATGATGAGTTGAACCTTGTATCATTGTGACTAATGATGTTTTTGCCTTAGAATCTATTTTATCTGCTGTTAATATAGCCATCATAGCTTTATTTTTGTTAGTATTTACCTATGTCTTCTTTCATCTTTTTATTGTTAACTTATATCTGTTTTCATAATTTAGGTGAATCTTTTTAAAAGAACTTATAGTTGGATTGGATTATTTTACAATCTGATACATTCAGTGATTAACTGGTAAGTTTAGTCTTCGTACATTTATTAACATTTCTGATACATTTGAACTTACTTCTGTCCTCTTAACTATAGTGTTTCATTCTGTTGCCCCTTTACTCTTTTTTTCCCACTTCTGAGTTGATACCTGTATCTTTTTCTTACCAAGATTAATTGTTTTTTAGTTTTTATTCTTTTTTAATATAAGCATTTAAGGTTATTATATTCTGTAAAATATAGCTTTAGAAGCATCCTATATATTTTTTAAATTTTTAATTTTTAAGTATCTTTTTATATATGTATATCATCAGAATGGCCTTTAAAGTATCTCTCTTTAAGTCGACACATATTTAAAAGCAGCCCTAATGAGATATAATTGCAATACAATAAGATGCATATATTTAAAGTATATAGGCCAGGTGCAGTGTTTCATGTCTGTAATCCCAATAATTTGGGATGCTGAGGCAGATGGATCACTTGAGTTCAGGAATTGGAGACCAGCCTGGGCAACACAGCGAAACCCCATCTCAATAAAAAATGGCTTTTGTAATAAAAAGCTTATACTATGAGAAGTTCTGACACATAAATACACCCACGAGATGATTGTTGTAATCAAGATAACAAACATATGCATCACCCCTAAAAGTTTCCTCATGGATCTTTGTAATTCCTCTTCCCATCCCCATATGACCACTGATCTGTAGTGTAGATTTTATCAGTGTAGATTCACTCATACTTTCGAGATTATTATTATTATTTTTGAGACAGGGTCTCACTGCTGTAGCCTAGGCTGCAGTGGCACAATCACGGCTCACTGCAGCCTTGACCTCGCGGGTTCAGGTGATCCTCCCAACTCAGCCTCCTGAGTAGCTGAGACTACAGGAATGCACCATCATGCCTGGTTAATTTTTTGTATTTTTAGCAGAGAAGGGGTTTCACCATGTCGCCCAGGGTGGTCTTGAACTCCTGGGCTCAAGCAATCTGCCCACTTCAACCTCTCAAAGAGCTGGGATTACAGGCGTGCGCCACCGCAGCCAGCCTAAGATTTTTGTATAAATAGAATAATTTATACATATGTACTCTCCCTTGCTGTATTATTTCACTCAGCAAAATTATTTTGGATTTCATCCATGTTGTTTGATACATTACAAGTAATAGTTCATTCCTTTTTACTTCTGAATAGTTTTCAATTGTGTAGCTAAATCATAATATGTTCATTCACCCATTGATAGATATTTGAATTATTTCTAGTTTGGGGCTATTACAAATAAAGCTGCTATAAACATTCATGTAGAAGTGTTTGAATGGACATATGCTTTTATTTCTTTTTTTTTTTTTAGTTTATTTTTTTTTCTTTTCTTTTTTTTCCCATTTATTTATTTTATTGCATTTTAGGTTTTGGGGTACATGTGAAGAACATGCAAGATTGTTGCATAGGAACACACGTGGCAGTGTGATTTGCTGCCTTCCTCTCCATCACCTACATCTGGCTTCTCTCCCCTTGCTATCTCTCCCCAGCTCCCCACCCCCCACCATCCCTCCCCTATTTCCCCCCAGCTGACCCCCATGTGTAGTGCTCCCCTCCCTGTGTCCATGTGTACTCATTGTTCAACACCCACCTATGAGTGAGAACATGCGGTGTTTGATCTTCTGCTCTTCTGTCAGTTTGCTGAGAATGATGGTTTCCAGGTTCATCCATGTCCCTACAAAGGACACAAACTCATCATTTTTGATGGCTGCATAATATTCCATGGTGTATATATGCCATATTTTCCCTACATGAGGCCAATAAACATATGAAAAAATGCTCATCATCACTGGTCATCAGAGAAATGCAACTCAAAACAACATTGAGATACCATCTCACGCCAGTTAGAATGGCGATCATTAAAAAATCTGGAGACAACAGATGCTGGAGAGGATGTGGAGAAATAGGAACACTTTTACACTGTTGGTGGGAGTGTAAATTACTTCAACCATTGTGGAAGACAGTGTGGCGATTCCTCAAGGACCTAGAAATAGAAATTCCATTTGACCCAGCAATCCCATTACTGGGCATCTATCCAAAGGATTATAAATTGTTCTACTATAAGGACACGTGCACACGAATGTTCATTGCAGCACTGTTTACAAGAGCAAAGACCTGGAACCAACCCAAATGCCCATCGATGACATATGCTTTTATTTCTTGATAAATACCTAGAAGTGGGATGGCTGGTTAATATGATAAGTATACAGTTAACATTTTAAGAAACTGCCACACTGTAGTCCAAAGTGGCTGTACCATGGTACACTCCCTCTAGCAGTGTGTGGGAGTTCTGCATGCCCCCTGTATTTGCCAGCATTCAGCATGGTCAGCCTTTATAATCATAGACATTCTAGTATGTGCACAATACTAGCTGCTTGGGGTTTCATTTGCATTTCCCAATGATTCATAATGCCGAGCATCTTTTCATGTGCTTATTTGCCATCAATATGATTTCTCTACTGAAGTGACTGTTCAGATCTTCCACTCACTTTTTAATTCAGTTATGTATTTTCTTATTGAGTTCTTAGAGCTCTTTATATATTTTTGGATCATATTTTATCAGCTATGTGATATGCAAATATTTCCTCCTAGTGTGCAGCATGTCTTAGGAGTGTCTTTTAAAAGCAGAAGTTCTTAATTTGATCCAATTTATTATCAGTGCCCTAGAAAAAGTACTTTTAAGGTGAAATTTGTTTTATGGCTCTAAGATGTTCTATATTGGTAAATGTCCCATATGTACTTGAAAATAATGTACATTCTGAAGATAACCAAATAGGACAACTCTGGAGTGCCATTCCCAAAGACAGCAATGCAGAGGGTGAGTGATCACTGCATTTCCAAATGAGTTTTTACTGCCCACAGACCAGGAGATTTCTGGGCTGAAAAGTTTTTGTCTCTGCACAAAAACTCACACAAATCCGGGCGGCCATTCCAACTGGTACCTGGAATGCTGGGAGACAGAGTCACCCATTCAGCTGAAAAAAAGGGGGCTGAAACAGGTAGCCAGGTGATCTGGATCAGTGGGTCCCACCTCAACAAAGACTAGCAATCCAAAACAATCTGGACTGATAGTTTTGCAGCAAGTGCAGCTGGACCCAGGATGGTCCAGCTCAGTCAAGGGAAGGGGTATCAGCCATTACCGAGGCAGTCCGCCACTACCGAGGCAGTCTGCCACTACCAAGGCAATCTGCCATTACCAAGGCAGCCCACCATTACTGAGGCAGTTCTAACTGTACCTCTGTAAACAAACCGCAAGGAAGTTCACACGGCAGCTGTGCAGAGACCATGGCAGCTCAGCAATGCTCCTGCTGGAAGACTGTGACTAGACTACCTCCTTGCTGGGCAGGGCATCTCTGAAAAAAGGCAGCAGCATGTCAGGAACTTGTAAATAAAGCACCACCTTCCCAGGACAGAGCGCCTGGGAAAAAAGGTGGTTATGAGTTCCACTGAGGCACACTTAAATATACCTGCCCTGCAGCTCTGAACAGAACAACGGAGCTCCCAGCTCAACACTTGAGCTCCTATAAAGGATAGACTGTCTCCTCAAGCAGCTCCCTGACCCCCATATATCCAAAGACAGACCTCATAAAGGAGAGCTCCGGCTGACATCTGGCGGGCCCCTTCTGGGATGAAGGTAACAGAAGAAACTGGCAGCAACCCTTACTGTTCTGCAGCTGCTGCAGGTGATCCCCAGGCAAGCAGGGTCTGGAGTGGACCTCCAGAAGTCCTACAGCAGAGGGGCCTGACTATTAGAAGGAAAACTAAAAAACAGAAAGAAATAACTTCAACATCAACAAAATGGATGTCCACTCAGAGACCCCATCCAAAAGTCACCAACTACAAAGAGCACAGGTAGATGAAGATGGGAAGAAACCAGCACAAAAAGGATGAAAACACCAAAAACCAGAACGCCTCTCCTGCTCCAAGGGATCACAACTCCTCACCAGCAAGGGAACAAAGCTGTGCGGAGAATGAGTCTGATGTATTGACAGAAACAGGCTTCAGCAGCTGGGTAATAACAAACTTCTCTGAGCTAAAAGAACACGTTCTAACCCAGTGCAAAGAAACTAAGAACCTTGAAAAAAAGGTTAGATGAAATGCTAACTAGAATAACCAGCTTAGAGAAAAACATAAATGACTTGATGGAGCTGAAAAACACAGCGCAAGAACGTCATGAAGGATACACAAATTTTACTAGCTGAATCGACCAAGCAGAAGAAAGGATATCAGAGATTGAAGATCATAAAATAAAATAAAATGAGGAGGCAAGATTAGAGAAAAAAGAGGGAAAAGAAATGAACAAAACTTCCAAGAAATATGGGATTATATGAAAAGACCTAATCTACGTTTGATAGGTGTACCGGAACGTGACGAAGAGAATGAATCCAAGCTGGAAAACACTCTTCAGGTTACTATCCAGGAGAACTTCCCCAACCTAGCAAGACAGGCCAACATTCAAGTTCAGGAAATACAGAGAACACCACAAAGATATTCCTCAAGAAGAGCAACCCCAAGGCACATATTCACCAGATTCACCAGGGTTGAATTGAAGGAAAAAATGCTAAGGGCAGCCAGAGGGAAAGGGCGGGTTACCCACAAAGGGAAGCCCATCAGACTCACAACAGATCTCTCCGCAGAAACCCTACAAGCCAGAAGAGAGTGGGGGCCAGTATTCAACATCCTTAAAGAAAAGAACTTTCAAACTAGAATGTCATATCCAGCCAAACTAAGCTTCATATGCGAAGGAGAAATAAAATCCTTTACAAACAAGCAATTGCTGAGACATTTTGTCACCAAAAGGCATGCCTCACAAGAGCTCCTGAGAGAAGCACTAAACATAGAAAGGAACGACCAGTATCACACACTCCAAAAAAGTACCAAATTATAAAGACCATTGACACAACGAAGAAACTGTGTCAACTAAAAGGCAAAACTACCAGCTAGCATCACAATGGCAGGATCAAATTCACACATAACAATATTAACCTTAAATGTAAATGGGCTGAATGCTCCAATCAAAAGACACAACTTGATGGAGCTGAAAATTGGATAAAAAGTCAAGACCCATCAGTGTGCTGTATCCAGGAAACCCATCTGATGTGCAGGGACACACATAGACTCAAAATAAAGGAATGGGGGAAGATTCACCAAGCACATGGAGAGCAAAAAAAAGCAGGAGTTGCAATTCTCATCTCTGATAACATAGACTTTAAACCAACAAAGATCAAAAGAGACAAAGAAGGACATTACATAATGGTAAAAGGATCGATGCAACAAGAAGAGCTAACAATCCTAAATATATACGCACCCAATATAGGAGCACCCAGATACATAAAGCAAGTTCTTAATCACCTACAAAGAGACTTAGACTCCCACACAATAATAGTGGGAGACTTTAACACTCCACTCTCAATATTAGACAGATCAACGAGACAAAAAATTAACAAGGATATCGAGGACATAAACTCAGACCTGGACCAAGCACACCTAATAGATATTTACAGAACTCTCCACCCCAAATCCACAGAACATACATTCTTTTCAGCATCACATTGCACCTACTCTAAAACTGACCACATAATTGGAAGTAAATCACTCCTCAGCAAATGCAAAAGAATGGAAATCATAACAAACAGTCTCTCAGATCACAGATCAAATTAGAACTCAGAACCGCACAACTTCATGGAAACTGAAAAACTGGCTCTTTAATGTTGACTGGATAAACAATGAAATAAAGGCAGAAATAAAGTTGTTCTTTGAAACAAACGAGAACAAACACACAACATACCAGAGTCTCTGGGACACATTTAAAGCAGTTTCTAGAGGGAAATTTATAGCAATAAATGCCCACATGAGAAGCAAGGAAAGAGCTACTATCAACACCTTATCACCAAAATTGAAAGAGCTAGAGGAGCAAGATAAAAAAAACTCAAAACCCAGCAGAAGACAAGAAATAACTAAGATCAGAGCAGAACTGAAGGAGATAGAGACAAAAAAAAAAACCTTCAAAAAATCAATAAATACAAGAGCTGGTTTTTTGGAAAAGATCAACAAAATAGACAGAGAGCTAGCCAGATTAATAAAAAAGAAAAGAGAGAAGAATCCAAAAGATGCAATAAAAAAACTATAAAGGGGATATCATCACTGATTCCACAGAAATACAAACTACCATCAGAGATTACTATAGACAACTCTATGCACATAAACCAGTAAACCTGGAAGAAATGGGTACATTCATGGACACTTGCACCCTCCCAAGCATAAAACAGGAAGAAATTGAAACCCTGAATAGACCAATAACAACGGCTGAAGATGAGGCAGCAATTAATAGCCTGCCAACCAAAAAAAGCCCAGGTACAGATGGGTTTACAGCAGAATTCTACCAGTCATACAAAGAGGAGCTGGTACCACTCCTTCTGAAACTATTCCAAACAATCCAAAAAGAGGGAATCCTTCCCAAATCATTTTATGAGACCAAAATCATCCTGATACCAAAACTGACAGAGACTCAACAAAAAAAGAAAACTTCAGGCCAATATCCATGATGAACATAGATGCAAAAATCTTCAATAAAATACTGGCAAACCAATCACAACAGCACATCAAAAAGTTTATCCATCATGATCAAGTAGGTTTCATCCTGGGGATGCAAGGCTGGTTCTACATATGCAAGTCTATAAACGTAATTCACCACATAAACAGAACCAAAGACAAAAACCAAATGATTATCTCAATAGA